GTGCACCGGCTGACAGCTGGCAGGTCAAGCCCTCCAGCCTAGGTCCTCCCCTCCAACCTGTCACTGCCCTGCCTCCATCTGCATCTCTCGCTTTTTTTAAAGAGAGATTTTTATTTTTCTATAGGGCACATGTGCTCACTAGAGAGACAGACAGACAGACAGAGAGACAGAAAGTGAGAAATCACCGCCCAGGGGAGATGACCACACTGTAATCCTTCTCCTCCATTCTCCTCTCAGGATTTTGAGCATGGACGCACCCATGGCCACCGTGAATTTTAAGCCACCAGGTCCTGGACTTAAACTGCAGTCGACTATGGGGGAGTCCAGCAACCTAACCATTACGCCATCTGCTGGTCCCTCCATCTGCGTCTCTTAAAGCCCCCTCAGAAAGCCACACCAACTGTGTGACCTGGGGCCAGTTATGCGACTTCTCCACCCCTCAGTTTCCTCATCATAGAACAGCATAACACCAATGTCATGGGGCCACGGTGAGCCTAGAGTTGAAGGAGTTAAAGCAGAGCCCAGCCCAGGGCAGATGTCTGATAGAATTGTGGCCGTGACCACGGCTCCTTCTCTCCCGGCCAGGCCGTGGTATTTCTCTGCTCAAAGGAGATGCTCCGCCTGAGGGGGATCTTTCCTGGTGAGGCTGAGCCTCTGGCCTTCTGCCCTCCGAAGGGACCCAGCCCCAGGGACAGGGCCCACTTCCGAACCCGCCCCCCCCAGTCCTTACTGGGCAAGATGGTCTTGTATCGGTCCTTGGAGGCGTGGCCAGGGATATCCAGGTCCTCAGGACTGACGAAGTTGGAGGGGATCTTCTGGCAGGGGGAGGAGAGGAGTGAAGAGCCAGTGCACCTTCCCAGACACCCGCCCACCCTTTTCTAGTGCGGCTGCCTCTGGCCAGTCCTTCTGGGAGTTACCATGGAGCCCGGAGAGGGTGGAGGGTAGAAGAGGAAGCATGGGTAGCCTCCTTCTCAAGCCCTGGAGGTGTCTTCCCTAAGGGGCCCGCCGAAGGGACATGCCCTGGTGTCCAGGATGGAACTGTGCCAGTTGGCTGCCTGTGACACACAAGGGCAGAGTGACTCAGAGGGGACCCCAAGTTCTTACCAAGAATTCCTCCTCCAACTGTTTGGGGCTGGGGGGCTGGTGCTGCAGGGCCCAGCATGTGAGGGGGTGTCCAGCTGTGCGCAGGAAGTGGAGAGTCACCTCCCGGGGTGTGTTCACCGAGCAGATGGGCTCCACGGCCCCCAGGGACCTCACATCCAACATCAGAGCCACGTTGGAGCCCCGCCTGCAGACACGGCCGACATGCGCCTGTGAGCCCGCAGCAATGTCCGCTCTCCTTATGGGTGGAGTGGTTACAGGCACACCCGAGGAGGCCGCCCCTTGTCTTTCCCTTGACTCATGACTAGGGATTCCAAAAGTCCAGCTCCTGCTGCCCTGTGCCCTCTCCCCTTGTCAGACGGACCAGGGCAGCTCAGAAACCAGCTGCTCTGGCAGCAGCCCATCTCTCCCACCCTGTCCTGGCCCAAGGCTGCACTGAGATGCTGGACCTACACCTGCCCCAGAGGCTTGGGCCTTGCCCCAGCAATTGCTAAACCCAACCTGGGATTTAGGGAGTAAGCTCAGGGTTGACATGAAACTGTGTCTCAGACATGCAAATGAACGTCTTTGGTTTCCTTTCCAGATGGGAGTCAACAGCTGGGGACCCCCTAGATCAGCTGTGAGAGCTGGAGGGGCAGATGGAGGAAGTGGGGAGCCGGGTGGGGCTCAGGGCTGGGGAAGCCCCCTCTCCCCCCTTCCCAGGGAAGAGCTCACCTCTCCTGCAGCCGCACATGCTTCTTGGCTGGTGCTTTGGCAGGTGGGGGCTGAGTCATGGCTGCCCCCCAAAGATAAGGTCAGCGTCTGTGCTCTGGAGTGCCCCCACCATGCTGGGGTGGGGTGCTGGCCCAGGGAAGACTCACTCAGCCATGAGGTCCACCTGCAAGACAGCACCCCTCAGCTGCTACCCTCTGCTTGCCTGATTGGACAGAAGGAGGCCTCCAAGCCTAGGCAGGCCTGCAGCCCTGTGGGCACCTCTATTTTCAATGGGGGTTTTTCTGTTCCCCAGAAAGTGGCTTTGCTTTCACTATGGAAAGACAGGCTCTCTCGAGTCTGGGATTAGAGAGAGGGCAAGGTAATGGGTAGCAGTTGTGGATGGAGAACAAAGAAGAGTCCAGGAGGGAGCGGAAGAGAGGCCGAAACCAAAAGATGCGGAGTTCGAAGCTGGGGACTGAGAGAGAGAGACGTCAAGGGAGGAGAGGAAACTTGTGTTCTGTGTTGGAGGAAGGAGGATGCGTGAGAAAGCATCTCTGGGTCGCCAGTGGGCCTTCTCTGGAGTGAGAAACAGGGCCTCTAGCAGTGCTGGGCTGGCCAGGGACCCAGGCATGCCAGGCAGTGGGCCCCGGCAGGGTCCTCTCCTAACAGCTGGCCTTCGTGCCCACATCCATTGCTGGCTTCTGGGGTCTCTGTCCAGGGAGGGAGGCCGGGGATGTTTCCTTCCTCCTCCGGCCCATCCCCCGTCTCCCGCCTCTGTAACCGTCACAGGAAATGGCCTCACCAAGCCCTTGAGCGGCAGCGCGCGGTGAGGCGACAGCTTGGGGCACGAGAGGGGCATAGAGGTTGAGGCCATCTCCTTTGGGAGGCAGGCCCCATTTCCAGAGCCAGTTCACAGCTGCTGGGGTGGCAGGGGTAGCAGAATTGTTGAGCCCGCAGGGACAAAGGTGAGGGACACGGAGGGACCCGCACAGGTGTGGGTGGCTCAGAGTGGTTCTTGGCAGCAGGAGGGGCCTTTGAGCCTCTGCTCTCGGCAACCCCCCTGGCTCCCCTAAGCCCCAGCTCAGGGACACAGGGCACGTCAGCACCCACTCCCCCACCGGGCACCGTGGCACCAGCTCCCCGACTCGCACACCCCTCTTGGGAGATGCCCTTGGTTTCTGCAGGCTTCGTACCACCCCAGGCCCCCAGGACTCCTGCGCCCTGCTGCAGGTACCTACTGAAGCAGCTGTGTCCCCCAGGCTGTTCCTCGCCAGCTGTCGGTCTGTCTGTCGGTCTGTCTTTGAGGGCTGAGAAGCTTCAGGAAGCCAGCTTCCTCCCTCCGCCCCTCCTCACTGCCACCCACGCACACCCCGGCTGCGGCTGCCCTCCTGTGCCTGCTGTTACTGCCACCAGGGGTCGGTGTCTCCTGCCTGTGCCCTCCGGGGTGTTCCAGCACCCTTGCCAGGGGCCCAAGGCTGGGCTCCCTGGGAACAGGCAGGAGGCTGGGCCTGCCTGACTAGCCAGTTCCCCTGGCTTTTTCCCTCTGTCCTGCGTTTCTCCCCCGGTCCGGTCACGTCCAGCCTCTGCCCACG